GGAGAAAGTATAAGACCTTTTCAGAGGAGAGTGGTATGCTGGAAAACTCACATACCATTAAGTTGATCAGGAGCAACTTTTAATTATTTAGTTCAGTAATGCAAAGAATATTCACACAATTTGACAGCCATTACCACCACCTGTCTCCAGAATAATTTTATCTTCCCAAATGAAAACCTTTGAGTTATGGATGCAGCTTGGTGTTAGGTTGCTTTCCTGGCATATACAAGGCCCGGAGTTCAATCCCTAGTAGTACAAAAGACAAAACAAAGAAAACCCGCAACCACATCTGTGAACCAGTAACCCCTCATTTCTCAGCCTCCTGTCTCCTGGCCTTGTCCATTCTACTTTCTGTTTCTTATTTTGACTGTCTGGGTATTTTATAAAAGTGACTTTATGCAGTATTTCTTACTGTGTGACTAGCATACTTTACTTAACACTGTTCTCAAAATCTACCCTTGTAGGACATGTCCAATGACATTCCTTTTTCGTACTGAATAATATTCCATTGTATGCATAGTGTTTATCCATCTCTCAATGGACACTTGTGTTGTCTGTCTTAGCTGTTGTAAATCATATGGCTGTGAACATGTATTTAACTCTTTTGAGGGATTTCCAAACTTTTCCCCACAGCAACTGCACCATTTTACATTCCCACTGAGAATGTACCTAGGTTCCTTCCAGATTCTCCATGCGGACGAGGGGCTACATGTCTTCAATCTAAATCAGCTTGACTGTAACCCAGACTGCACCCGAGGCAGTGACAAAAATGTTCAATTATGACAGCAGATCGGTGGCAGAGTATGGAGGGTCTTGAAGTCAGGGAATGGCACCGGTGCTATTTCTGCAGGCTATGGGAAGCCGGTGAGGCAAGGACAAAATTACATGGTGCTACAGGCAGCTTAAGAACCAAATGATGCATTTAATGTGAATTGAGACCTGGAGGCCAGGACGGTGGTCAGCATTTGACTGCAGCTAGTTATCTAAGCTAGAGATCTGGTTCTAGGTGAGAGTCCTGGGTTCTAGGTAAGACCTGGGTTCCAGTTAGGAGGGCTGGAAAGGTGGCGATGAATGAGGAGAGACTGAATGGGATTCTTGAGAATAAGGAAGGTGTTTTGCAGGTGAGAGATGTGAGGAATTCTGCGTGGGCTCAGCCAGCCTTTCAGCATTAGTTATCTTAAGCGTACTCATGCAGAGTGATAGCAAGAGGTACATCCCTCATCCTTTGTCATTTTGATTTCCAAGCACATAGAGATGGGAGAGAACCAGTTATCCAAGTGGTTCCTGTCCTAGTAAGGAGTGGCTTTGAAGCATGGCTGGGAGTGTGGGTGGATGATAGGATGTTACTTACTCTGCATCAATGCGTCATGGGTTTCATTCCATGATGGAGGAAGGGGCAGAGGGAGGAGAGAGAGAGCACACACAGCAGCTATGGAGCTGTTTCCTTCATGGGAGCACTCTCTAAGCTGAGGGTTGTATAACTGGGCCCTGAGTAAGAAAAAGTCCCTTAGGGTGTTTGCACAGAGAGCTGAAACTCCCTACACAAGATCCAAGCTGGAGCTACAAGGTCTTGTTTTTATGCTTAATTTGCATAATAATAACATGACTATATTATGACAGCCCATAAGTGGTATATCTTTTGTCTGGAACATTAGCATCAGACATGGTTAAGATTTGGGGGGATTTTTTCATCATTAAAATATTTTTTATTTAATTAACATTTAAAAATTTATTTTACATAGGGACTACAGTTTCCCCTCACTCCTCTCCTCCCATGCCCTCCCCCTATCTACCATCTACTCCCTTTGGATTTTATATCTTGGAATATTTGCAGACATTTTACCAACTTAATCAGAAAAATATTAAATCTAAAATGGTTTAAAATGCAAAATTTATGAGCATTGTTTGTACTTAAGTTTCACATTTTGAGTTTTCCAGTTTTGAATACCCAGCCTGTGTAAGCAAGGTGTTTTGTATGGCCCTTTGTTCTGTGTTGGCTATGTGACATAACAAAAAAACACCCTGTCTCTCCAATTCTTTGTGTTTTGATTACAGAATGCTCCACAGTGGAAAGTACTCTGTAGATGTTGTTCTGTAAGTTGACACGAGGCAGGTGGTAGTAACTTTTCATGCAGCTGTGCAAAGGAATGGGCTTGGTGACAGTGCCTGGGTGGCAAGTGTGAATCTCAGTTTGGTGGATCTCAATTTGAGGAGGGTTTTAAAGAATTTATGTTTAAGATAAATGTAGTTAAGGTGTTTAAAGTCAGGTTTATCCTCCAATGTAAGTGTGGTGATCTAAGCTGGGCAGCCACCCCTGTCTTTTTTTTTTTTTTATGAGTTCTAGTGATCAAACTCACTTCCTCTTACAAGCAATGTACTTGCTTCCAGGACCCCTACTCCCCTGTATGTTTTTATCTGCAAGTTAAACTGAAAACAGCCTTCCCCAGGCTTACAACTGGGTGATGAATCTATACTGCTGATACCAATAACAAAAGCATTTGTCAAGGCTCAGCCACCAACCTCAAGGGCTGTTCAAGTGTGTAGATATACGTCTGTGGCAACTGGACTCGTGGGCCTTGTTTAGTCTTTATGAAGAGGTTGTATCTAACTAACTGCTGTGGACATCATTAGAGGCCATTTCCTCACTTGGGACTGATTGCCTAAAGGGATTAACAGACTTTGAAGCACTATTTGATGTTTCCAAAGATGTCCTTAGTGCTCAAAAAGGATAAATCTATTCCTCCCTTCTTTGGCTGCAGAAGGATACTATGTTCTTTCCCAATGAGAGCTTGCCCATTCTCCTGGCATCCCTGACATTGTGGGTAGCAGAGCAGGATGTCCCATTGTGATACCCCAGGAAGCAGCCAAGGTTTCAGAAGAGAACTGATTCCTTCAGTCACCCTTGCTCACTGCCAGTGCACTGTGCCATTTGAATCTTAATTGGGCCCATTGGATGACTGTGAGAAATGAGGCCACATTGAAAATTCATAGTACCAGACTCCTTCCTACACCTCGGAGAGATCTAAACTTTGGATGAAATCAAAGAGGCTACAAGACCAGAGCTCTAGGATGAAAAAGCTCCTGAAAGTCAAAACACAGAGAAGAGAACTTGGCAATATGTGTAGAGAAGATACATGTTTCCCACAAAAATAGCAAAGCAGGAGCATGAGGAAGAAAAGAGAAATGGTTTGTGAGATGCCCTCAAGAGCTGTAACTCACCATCAGCCGAAGGTTCCTTCGGAGAATTATTTCTGTAGCTAATCAGAGACGAGAAGGTACATTTTCAGCTAACATGGAACTTAAGAATAAGACGAAGATGTGGAATGGGAATTATGGCATAAATCAAAGATAAAGGCTTCTCTCCCAATTCGGTGGATGTTACTAACTTTCGTCTACCTTTAAGGAAAAACCACCCACACTGCCTGTGATCCCAGGGAAGAAAGTGGGCTTAGGTAGTTGTGCAGTTTTTAGATGTGGGTGTTCTATCATGTGTACCTTCACCAGCATCCTCCTAAGAGCTAAGTGAGATGGTAAGGCTGCATCTTCCACCTGACAGGTGACACTCAGTGGCTTGGGACTCAACACAGATTGAAGGCAATATAAATAAACTTCTCCCTGTTTTGCTTCCTTCCTAATTTGCCATGTTTCACCAGAACTGACAGGAGCAGGGAGAATAAGGATGAGGGGACATGCACGTATGCTTTACTATGTGCCAAGCATTTTGGGGACCTCACGGCAAACACTCCAGCTTTCTGGTGGTGGTGCTGGAGGTTGCAAGCCCTCCATCACCAAGCCACATGAGTGATTCACTAAGTAATGAAGGTTAGCCTTGAACTCACTCTGTAGCCCAAGCAAGCCTTCAGCTTGTCATTTTCCTGCATCAGTCTGTGGATTATGCCACTAAGATATTCTTTAGTCTGTGAGATAAATGAGGTATGGCGAGATGTGGGTGCTATTTTGTAGCTGGAATTTCTTTCCCACCTGGTCCCTCTGCCGTCTAGCCCCAAATGAACACACACATCTATTAATTATAACCTGTTGGTCAATGGCTCAGGCTTCTTACTGGCTAGCTCTTTCTTATTTATTAACCCATAGCTACTAATCTATGTATTTCTATATGGCCTTGTCTTACCAGAGACTGCCCAGCATGTCCTATCTTCCCAGTATCTACATGGCATCCCCTGTAGCCACTTCTCTCTTTCCTCTACCCAACATTCTCCTCATCTGGTAGCCTCACCTATATACTTTCTGCCTGGCTACACTAGCAATCAGTGTTTTGTTCATCAACCAATAAGAGAAACACTCCCATCAAAGATGAAATAGTTTTTCCCAGTAAAACCATGGGGCCAGAACTTTAACATAGGCTTTGATCTTAAACACCCATATTCTGAGGTTTTTAATCACAGTCCCTAAACCCAAGAAGATATGAGACTAAGTATGATGTGTGCCTGCTATTGTCACACTGGATGCTTGAGTATTGTCCTAATGCTTCTGGAAGCTTTGGGGTGGGAGGGGCACGTGTTTCTAGCCCTGTATTCTTCAAAGATGTCCCTATAAATCACAATAGTTGTTTCATCGGAAATGAATATAATTGCAAAGAGATAATTTTAATGTAGTTTTAAATTAAATAAATAGTAATGTTCATATTATAATGCTATTGCAAAATGTATACAATAGCAGCAAAGAACACATCCTAATCTATATTATATCAGACTTACTCTACATTCCTTATTGTCTTTTTTCGATGATTCTAAATAGATAAATAGTTTTGTATCTAATATTGCAAGCATTCTCTGTTGCTTTATGAGGGTTTCATAATTGATTTTTAAACTGATGGGTTTTTTTGAATATTAGTTATATCTCAAGTTTTCTAATCATGGAATGTGAAGATCCAACAGTATTAACTTTAAAGGCATTTGTGATAAACCTTGGTTATAAAGAGATACTGAATAGCCAAAGCTCAGCTTTCTGAAACCATCTTTCCTTGTTTTGCTTTGTAGGGATCTACAGAACAGAAAGGGATAAAGGCACTTTGTATGAGCTCACCTTCAAAGGAGACCATAAACATGAATTCCAACGGCTTGTCCTATTTCGACCCTTTGGCCCCATCATGAAAGTGAAAGAGGAAAAACTCAACATGGCCAACACGCTTATCAACATTATCGTGCCCCTGGCGAGGAGGGTGGACAAGTTCCGGCACTTCATGCAGAACTTCAGGTGCATTTATTTGCAGGGAACCCTGCTTATTTGTTGTCACTGCCTCCATTTCCTCTGCTGTGTACAATGCTTGTTTTCCTGTATTCCTCTCGCTTTTCTTCATACGAAGGTTGCCATTAGTATCTGCCTTTCCCTAAAGCAATTAGAAAACCCTTGTTTAAATGTGTTTTCCTTAGAAGGAAGGTCTAGGAAGGATGGGCTATCAACAGTGCTGTGCAAGTCACCTTGAGTTCTGACTGGGTAAACCAGTGCTGCGCATGTCACCTTAAGTTCTGCCTTGAGCCTGGCCTCCAAAGCCAAAAGTGAAATTCTCAGAGGAAGCAAATGAGGTTCAAAATCATCAGGAACAGGCAGGAGTTGGCCAGCGGTGACAAAATGCATGTCATTGATGACTCTGGACAAGAAAGAGGCCCTGGCTCAGCAGAAGACTAGCTTCATTTGCTGTCCTATTCTAACTGCATCTGGAGGAGATTGAATCACAGTCTATTTCTTATTCTAAGCTACATAGCCCAAGAGGCTGAATTTAAAACTATTGCAGGAAGGCTTTAGGGAGTCATCTTTATAGGCACTTAGTAAGTAGACCTTTATTCCAGGGTGCATTGGTGGAGCTCGTGCATATGTGACTGGAAACTCTCTACTGAGCAACATTGGGTCTTATTTTGTTTTATGTATGGAATTCACATATCGGCTGAGGTTAAACAGCTAAATGATTTAGTTACCTTGTTTTAAGGAAGCCAGCTTATTTTTATCAAATTATAAATCCTGAAAGACTTAGCTAATTTTTAAAAATCTCTTATCATTAATTTCAGATTATTTAAAAAGTCAGTGGTGTTCAGTAGAAGAATCTGGTTGGTAGCTCTCAGCATTTTAGCTCAAGAGCACAAGAGGCATCCTTTTGTAATTAAGTTATATGTATCAGGATCAAATTGTCTTTGAAGAGACCATTGAAGTGATCTGGGAATGGAAAATGGAAACCGCATCTGAGAGCCAGGGCCTGCAAAAGATAGTACACACAAAGAGCAGGTGGGCACTGTGGCAGAGACTGAGTGGAGTATCTTCTGTGCAGCCAAGGAGTTTCTGAGTATGTGCTGGGCTCTGAAAAAGTGGACTGTAAAATCATGAGTACCTAGGGCATTTAATTCTATGTAGGAACATAGTAAAAAGATTGTTTTCAAATCCCAGTCAAAAACGGATTCTATACAACATAGTGCTAGAACAAATGACCAAGCATAGTTGGAAAAGGTAATTTTTTCACACCTAAATTTAAAGTCTATCCATTTAAGCCAAAGGGGTTCCATGGGAACCTCCAAACAATCCAGACTGTTACCAAGACAATAGGTTGCTTTCCACAAACTGATGGCAAGGCCCCACTGCTGAAGACAAGACCTACAGAACTCACTACATGAAGAAGTCGAGCTGGTTCGTACCGGAGCCTTCACCCCAACATGCTAACATCTTTGGTATGGGTCAGTACTCTGTACACTACTAAAGGAGAAACTTAAATACCAACCCAGTTATAAACTCTTGGATCTACAACAGTGTTATGCCAGCGATATGCTAGTGCAATGGTGGTGCAGTTTATGGGAGTAATCAAATAATACCTGGTTTGACTGAAGGCCTGCTCCAACAAATGAAACCCATATACTGCTTGGGTGACCAAGAATCTGAGACTAGATAGCACAGGGACTTAAGGTAAAACCAAATACTATTTTCCCAAAGCAACAACAACAACAACAAAAATGTAGCAACAAAATGACTCCTGATGACATCCTGCTATACTCATAGATCAGTGCCTTGCTCAGCCATCATCAGAGACACGTCCTTCTGCAACAGATGGGGAACAAATACAGAAGCCCACAGCCAGAAACTATGTGAAGAGTGAGAGATCTTGGAACACTCAGCCCTAAAGTAGATAGCAAATCCTTCCTCTAGGAATTCAGGGACCTCTGGAAAGAAGAGGCAGGAAGACTGTAAGAGCTGTCAGAGAATATGGAAGACACTACAAAACAAGGCCAAAAAATAAAAGAAAGAAAACAAGGCCCTCTAAATCAACACGAACCCGTGGAGACTGAGGCTGTATATATAGGACTTTCAGGGGTCTGTACTAATTGGGGTCCTAGAGTTAAAAGAAGTGGTCACATGCTTTCAGCCCTAACCCAGGAGCAATCTCCTACTGAAAACCATTTGTACATGAAAATTTAGTTTTCTACAAAGGGAGTCTCACTGTGGAAACCAACTACTCTTAACGGTAGGCTGCATGCGCAGAAGTAAATGGCCAACAGAAAATGAACTCAACTGACAGCTTTGGAGGCTCCTTGTCTCATAATGTTTCATTAGGGCTCTTCCTTTAAAAAAAGTTATTTTTTTTTACTATTTTATATTAATTTTTATAGAATCTATTATTTTTCTTCTCTCTTTTTACCCTACAGGTCCTTTGCATATACATTATGACTTCCAGTATAGTGTTTTTATGGGATTCCCAAATGTGTGAATGAGTGGTCTCTATTTCTTGTGCCTTCTCTGGGGCTCTTTTCCTTGTATTTGTTTGTCTGGGCCAATTCCAATGTGTTAGTTTTGCTTTATATATTCTGTTATACTCTCATAGAATACTTTGTTTTCTAATGAAAGGCAGAAAGGGCGTAGATCTGGATAAGAGGGGGTAGGAGGAGCTGGAAGGAATAGAGGGAAAGGAACTGTAATCAGAATTATTATATGAGAAAAATGATATTTTCAATAAAGGGTGGAAACCTCTGGCCAATTAAATATTTAGACACAGTTAATATAACCATAAAATTACTGGAAGAACATGTAGGTACTATCTATTAATGTTGGCTATTGCTATGATGTCCTTTCCAACTTCAGATTGGAACATATCAGTTCTGGTTGACACTGAAGACTATACTGTGAGTGATTTTATTCCCTTTATTTATTGTGTCAATACCACATAACTACCCAATATTTTATATTTTGTTTTAAAATTCAGCAACAGGGAAATGGCTCATAGATAAAAAGTCTTTCTGCACAACTTGATGACCTGCGTTCACTCCTGGAGCCTTCATAATGGTCGAGGGAGCAAACAAAGTTCTCAGAGAAGCCTTCTGCTCTATACACTCACTCTTCTTTGGCAAGCACAACCATATATATTATGTCTACATGCATAATAGTATAGAATAAAATTGCTTGAAAATTTAATGAAAGATCATCTTGGAGTTTCTAATTTAAGATGGACACTTATAGAAGTGATTATTGGCTACTACAAGATGTTTGTGCAATGTGGAACAAAAGAAGGAATCAATCATTTTAAAAGCAATCCACAGCTAAACACTATTTACATGAATTCAATAACATTTCACATGACCTTTCTTAGCATACATGTGATGGAAAGGATAGTTTACTGGCTAGGAGTAATTTAATACTGAATGTGATATCTTACATATTTCACTTTTAATGCATTAAATTTTACCTCCTTAAATTTGTAGTAAAAAAAAAAACTAAGTATTTCAGAAGGAACTGGTGGGTTTCTAGCAAATGTGTCTTCACTCTGAAAAGATATTAATTCATGAAAGATCTTTCTTGTATTGAAAAGTTACTCACAGAACAAGTTATGATTGGAATTATAATGTCCTTTAATCATATTTTAGTGTTCCACTGAACCAACTAAGGAGTTGCAGTAAGAAAAGAGAATACACATTCCCTATGCTCTCCTTCCTCTGTGATTCATCCACATTCCAAGTTGAGTCACTTGTGTTGTTACCTAGTTGGGGGATGCAACTCTTAGTTTCTATTTTGCAAAAGACAAATTTTGTATTTAGACTCATGCATTTCTTAAAATAGCATCCCCATACCTCAATTCTTGGTTGTGTTCAATGGGTAAGAGACACAAGGACAGCCATAAATGCTTTAACACAAACTGTCTACAGTTACCTTTGTCCTGTTAACAGGACAGGTTTGCTGGGCTTAAGAGCTTGGGACTTACACAGAACTTTATAGACTTTCTTTTAACATTGAATGATGCCATGGAAATGTATTAAAAGTAGTTAATTTATCTCTTCTAAAAGTGACTTTTGCCTCAAGGCCAGAAGAATTCCTCTTTGGTCTGGAATTGTATGTAGTAATTTAATCAGGGTATGTCTTTTCTTGGTTTTGATTGATTTGCCTGGGATGTAGTTTCTGTGTTGTTTTATGGATTCTTTCTGTGTTAAGGGATGATGATGGTTTGAATGAGAATGTCCCCCATAGCCTCATATATTTGAATGTTTGGTCTCTAGTTGGTGGAACAGTTTGGGAAGGATTGGGTAGTGTGGCCTTGTTGGAGGAGGTAAGTCATAGAGGTGGATTTTGAGGTTTCAGAAACCTATATCATTCACAGCTCCCCCTCCATCTCCTTCTCCCTCTCCCTCTCCTTCTCTCTCTCTTCTCTGTCCCTCCTCTCAATCCACCTCATCTCTGTGGATCAGGATGTAAGCTCTCAGCTACTGCTCCATGCCTGCCTGCCTGGTGCCATGTTGCTCACCATGATGATCTAGAACTCTAACTTTCTAGAACCTTGGGCGCCAACAAACTCTTTCTTTTATAAACTGCCTAGATCATGGTGTCTCTTCATGGAAATAGAAAAATAATTATTATAGGGGTTTTATGGTGTCTGCATGACTTGCTCAGTTCTGTGCCACATGAGCATAGATCGTCTATTTCATGAATTGTTTCCATTTACTAACATCTCCATTTCTCTTGTATGTATGTGTTGTGTGTATATGGCAATATGTGCACATGATATATACATATATATATATATATATATGTGTGTGTGTGTGTGTGTGTGTGTGTGTGTGTGTGTGGTATGTTTGTGTATGGTGTGTATGTATATGGTGTGTATGCTGTGTATATATGGTATTTGTGGTGTGTGTGGTGCACTCATGCGAACACAGACCCTCGTATGTGCATGCAGACCCCAGAGTAGATATCTTCTATTGCTCTCCACCTTACTATCTTGAGACAGTGTC